AAGAGAGAGAGAGAGAAAGTGCAAAATCTTACAAAAGAAAAATGAGCCACGCTTATAGTGTTACATATGTATAAATAGAGGAAAAAAATTTTCTATCTATATGCACAAACATGTTGTGGACAATTTTCGCATATAAATATGTCATCTCTAAAAGTGTTCGTAAATACGCACTCTAATGAATGCTCGTAAACAAATAATCCCTATCTCTATAACCGCGGTCTTTGTGTACAAACAAAAGAGTGGATACGTCACAAAAGAGAATATGCGCATTTAGCTGACAAAAAAATATTTTCTTAAGAATGTTACTTTTAACTTTGATTCGAGCAAATCTGTATAATTCGTTTGGGAGAAGATAAATTAAAAAAACAAAAACAAAAAAAAAGAGAGAGAAAAAGAACGCGCGAAAGAGATACGTGCAATGCACGTTCAGTGTCTTTTCACCGATAGTCGAGGGCGAGTGACTCATGGAAGAAAAAGCTTACACCATCAGTTCCACTTGTTATCGCCGTTACTCATACATCACGATATAGTCAGTCTTTGTCGCTATTTTCGCCCCGTAGCATAATAAAGAGCACATCTGCCGCATCCAGCTTTATCGACGATTCACTTGATTAGAGCCGATCTCGACCTCGCGCGCCTTTGTGCGACTCATTCGCAATACGAAGATGTTACGTATTGTCTGGAGGAGCTGCTTAATCCCGATAACGACGTCTATTTGTTCTTCATGAAGATAAAAGGTGCGCAAATATGAGGTATCGCAACTACCACGATGATTATTGATCACGTTTCTACAAAAGATTAACAAATGTATTTCTATTACAAAAACTATCGCGATGTAATGATTCGTATACTCTTTACATTCTTAGACAGAATGTTTTGTCTTCTCGGTTTTGCGCAGCTAATAAAAAATCGAACGAGTGAACAAATGTTCTTTGCACGACACCAGTTCGTAAATCGTTTAAAAACGTTTGTTCCGCACGATTGTATTCTACATATAACACAATACAATAACATTAAAAGAAAAGATTTAAATAAAGCAAATCCAAAAACATTGTAATTACAAAATTATACATTTAGAGAATGTCATTGTATTAAAATAATCGTACAACATGTTCGAAATTATTATCAAGTCTGTCAGACACAAAAGCGTCTTTGTAAGATGAGTTATCTAATAGACTTATGACCGACTTTATTAGGATTGTAAAATTATTATCTTGGAAATTTCTTCTAAGAAAAAATTTACCTTATTTCCATTCAAGAAATGAAAGAAATCGCTGCAACAGCTGCTAACTCGATTGTCCAACGTGAGAAAATTAATCTAAATCTAGTTCAACTTTAAAATGGAATTTATCAAGTTAAGAAAATGGGTCAAGCAAGTGCTGGCATTAAATTCTTAAAAAAATTTCTATTTGCTTTTCTGCTTAAACACCTTACGCGGATATTGCAATCTCGCGAAAACAATGTCGTGGATCTTATCGCACGACTTTCTGATAATCTGTCGAGAAATCAAGAGGATCAGAAAAAAGAGAGTATTTCAATAATTATCTATCACGACGGAGATGCGCGAATGCTGCATCGTCGGAACTCTCGCCAACTTGGCGCATGAATAGTTAACATCGTATTTGCATGCAAATTGTCTTGGTCACGGTCTTGGTCGTCCATGCGATTCAAACGTCTATACACAACGTGAAGAAGTTATAAAATGTAATATTTTTTCGATCCGCCTTTTTTGTCTTCATTCGCACAAACATTAACTTTTTATTTCACACGTGGATCATACGAAATGTCAGTATTACCGTATCAATTATTAATCAACTTCATTTTGCTCAAGTATCAAATATATAACAAGTGGAATTCGGCAAAATTTTAAGAATCCAGCGAAATATAAATATCAAATTAAAAAAAAAAAAAATAAGTTCAAGGTAAAGTATAAAGTTTCGAAAGATCAATCACAAATCGCAAAAAAATGACTTGGAATAAATTGCGTACGCATAAGATTTTCTGATTCAAATGTCACGTGCTCGATCAGGACATACATAGAGATTTAAAGCCGTATGGCGCAATATTCGAGAGCATCGTTCCGACCGGAGGAAATAAGAGAGCGCCGAGAGTGCGCGTGTCGCAATGAGATTTCATTCGTGCTCGAGTAACTGGGACACGACGAAAGGAAGAATGAGATTGCGGGGGACTAGGCTTTGCGTCGACCTTCGACACACGGAGGTAATTCGCGATAGCTCACGGCTACAAGGGGCACGACGCTGACGGAGTCAGTGATCCGAAGACCTTGTACGCGAGAAACAGTCCGTTCGATAAAACCAGTTGCGCATCGCTCCTGGTAGACGAATACGGTATCGACGTCCCGTGTGACTTTTTTTTTTTCAAGAGACTCGAATCAATCGATATTATTCCTGCCACGTTCGTTATATCTAATGCTTCGAGAAAACGATGGAAATTATTTGCATTACTGAAATGAAAAGTTTGAATTGTTTCCCACGACGTGGTTATTTTATTTAACGATGATTTATTTTAAAAATAATTATTCAATTACATTGCGATGGTGTTTCTAAAAATAATTATTAATTTGGATAGTTAAGAAATAATGCATAAATCATTTTGATCGGCGGATTAAAGAAAGCTATATGAATTGTTTAGGAATATCACACTCTTATTTTAAATCGAATCCGAGAAATGTATAATAAATTGTTGCGCTTCGAGAACTATATGAACTATAATCTTTAAATTGGACTTCGCAAACTTTGCGATAATGCGACAGTTGAAACTTCGTCCTTATTTCATGAAAACATAAGTATAACGTTCGACTTTGTTTACTTCATTGGAAAATGTATCAAAGATAAAAATGATTTCGCATGAAGCAACGATGATGGCAGATGTATTCTGAGAAAAATTTCAATCGCAATCATGACGTTTCTAGAACAATCCAGTCGATCTCATATATAACGCGTATGAAAGGCATAATTAGAGGATGAGTAGTTATCAAGCACACGTGCTTAAAAAATACGTAAAGAAGAATCGATTACTGACCTTGTTGCAGCCGTAATTTATATAAACGCCTTTGAGCTCATCTTCGGTCGAGAGTTCTGTGTTCGGGCTGTTCGGACTGTTCGGCGGACTCTTCGGGCTGCAAAGAGATGATATATTACAATTTATAAATAGATGACAGATCATCTAACCGGTAATTTCTCGAATCCTCCGATAAAGATTGTTGCTGACTTAATTTTGCTCGATGCTTATCTTTCGCAATAGTTTATTAAGTTCACTTGATCTCTAAAATTATGATTAAATCCCCTCTTTTTAGAGATACTCGAAATATCGACTAATTAAAACGTATTTGTAAAGCATATAATAAAAAATATATCTTATCATTTTTGTTGCATTATTTCTAGAACGCAAAAATATGTTTTCTGCGTACGTTCTCTTTTCAATTAATTTGCACAGGATTCGCTGAAAAATGTTATCGGGTCGCTTATCGCGCGTTCTGACTGGGCGACAAGGCGACGCGTGAAAAGTCGCCGTGATAAATGCCTTCTTGGAAGTTCATGACCTCCCGCATATTATGCGTGATCCGTAAGATCTTAGAGTATTGGACGCGCCTCTTCCTCTAGATGGAAAAAGACAGTAGATGTGTCATATCTTCTATCCTTTAATTTTCGAAAGTATACGATAACGAAGAATATAAGATATCGTTCTCTCGCTCTATCATATAAAAACAGAAGGACAGAAGGACAGAAGAACATTATTCTCCCGTTCTATCAACTCGGACCATAATTTTGGTCAGAAGGTCATATCCAGTATAAGATCTATGGATCCATCAGCGTGTCGCGAATCCGATCGGATCGACTAGCAGTCGCAATGCGGCCAACCGATGCGGTTATCTTTGCGCTTTGATCGATATCGCGATGAAGAAAAACGGCGTAATTGCTATGAAGCCCGTAATCTCTGTGATGCGTCTCGATGAAGAGCTGGAGGCCGCGATAAGCGCATTTATATCAAGTGCATCGTGTACGCGTATTACGCGTTATCGGCTCTTCTACCTTGGTTTTTCTCTTTTTCTTTCAGATAAAACACGCGGTCATGTTTAACTTTGCGACTGTGTGAATACAATGATGATTAATAACTTTATTCTCCTTCGTATTTTGCTATCTTAGATAGTCTAATATGATTTATTGTCAACTATGTAATATTGATTATGCGTGCTAATGTGTATATGTACCCTAAAAGAACTAAACGCCTGATAAATTTTTGCCTAGACTATCATATTTTGTATAATCTGTAATTTCACAATAATTACTAATAATTAAATAAAAATTAATATCAACAAAATTCTATAATTACACAAGTTTTCGTTCCTTTGAGAATCAATTTGATGCTAAACGATACGAAAAATAATATAAAAAAATATAATATCATATCTTAATATATATAAATTATATGTAAAATATAAAATATAATTTAAAAATCATTTAAAATATATAATCTCATTTTAAAAATTAATATATCAATAGCTGAACTTTTTGTGCTGATTTTTTTTTAATTAAAATTTATAATTTATTATTTATAATTTATAATTTATTAATCCATTCAAATAATTGTATATAAAACATAATTATTTAACATTGATAAATGATGAATTATTTTGTTGCATTAAAATATTTAAATACAATTATATATCCGACACATTTGTCAAACCAGTTATATAGTCTGTGCTAATTTCTCTCTCCAAATTTTTCGCCGCTCACAAAGAAACTGGTAGCAGGTGATAACGCAGAAATACACAAATGAAATGGTGGATTAAAGCGGATTCACCGTACACGACATATGCCATTCGCAGAATGTTGTTTCGAGATTTGAATGGATATTCGCGACATTACTGCGCAGATATTGTCAATAACAGGATCGCGGTAATTTTCACGCTCAAGATTCCATGAACATTCCATGAAGAGAACATACATACATACATGCATATATATATAGACACACAGATCGATGTCTCTTCACTATGACGCGCTTAGAGATACCGCGTAAACCTTTCACCGTAACATCCCTCGCGAATTTTCTGAAAATCGACTCTCTGCGTCAGAGAATGCGCGGCTGATATTTTTAGTAGGTCACAGACACTCTGTGCATAGAGACGTCCTTTGAGACTCTCCTTTGTCAGTAAGACGTACAAAGGCGCATTAGTTGTTCTCCTGCCAAGATATTTACCTCTCAATGACGTTATTTTAACCGTGTTAAGAACCATGTGTTAATTCAGCCGTCTGAATACCGAAAGTAAAAATATAGATATTTACCTGTGACTAATTAAAACTCTTTGTTCTTCACGAGCGACGCGTGTTTCATTTCGATATAATAGCAATTAAAAATTCATTTAACGTCATTCATTTAATGTCAATTTCGAATTATATCAAGAAGCAATTATATATCATTTCTATTCGAGCATATGAAAAGAAGAATCTGCTTTTAAAAAAAGCATGTTAAATCAATTACATCGAAATTAATTCTCATCGATTTTCTATGATGCCAAGTAATTCCCTCGTTACATTTATTTTGCAAGCGGCTATTATCGTGGAGATATATCATGTACTTTGACAATATATCTATCATATATATTGTACTTCCTTATTCATCGCGGATAAGAAGGTTACAAGTTGTATGAAAATATTTTATTTTGCTTTTTCTTTAAAGTATCGACCGATTAAATATTGAAGCTGATTATATAAGTAAATTTCTTCATGTTACAGTCGCTTATAATACGAAGTAGATATGTACATAATTGCACACAAATTGATAGAATATATCAAAATGTTATATTTAATTAAAAAAATGATGCCAGAAAAGAAATACCACGCGTGTGTCTGTAATTTTTAGTTTATTTTAAAACTTTAGTTTATTTTATTGCGTGACACGTTTAAAAAAAACATAGATTTAACTTTAATTTTTATGTTATAAGAAGAAGAGGAAATACAAAATCTATATACAAAATTATAATTTAAAAAATAATTTCCAAAAAGAAATTTCAAAATAATTTTATTATAAATAAAAAAATTGAAACAAATTGTAATTACACATTTTTACTTTTAGTTACGCTTATATAATAGCACAATTTTATAAAAAATTTATTTCATACTGTTTGAAAGAATCTTCTTTTTCAATGAAAATTTCTGAATTGTTCATCAAAATTTAGTTCAATCAACCAAACGATCTTTGCCATATTACAGCTCTGAATTTTTGTTTCAAATTTCTATATCGCAATTTGCAAAAGGCAACTGTAATATAGCCAGCAGATTATCTGCGTTTTTTTTCAGCTTTTATCTACGCAACCTTGAGCCACCCCAGCATGTGCAGGCCGATGACGGAGTGGCCCAAAAAAAGTAGTTCTCCATGTGCACAGTACGTTGCTCCTTGCCTCTGACTCACGACGCTTTTTTTCTTTAGTCTGGAACTTTTTCTAAGAGACAAGGGAAAAAAAGCAAACTTTTTGTATCTCGTATTCGCGCAGAATAATCGAAAAGAGAGACACGGGAGATCATCGTACTGCGCAACTCGAGTGGATATAAGTATAAGGTTGAACGGCTTTGTTGGCCGAGTCTTCGAACTACCCCGAGAAAGTATAAGAAGTCGGCTATATGTTATCTCAAATCGTTTTTCGAATCCCTACACTTGGCTCTGTCGCACACGTAGACCTTACAGAAAAGTAACTTGAATTACAGCTGCCCGCGCTCGTCGCAACTTCCGGAAACCTCAATCCTTCGCACAAATTGGCAATCGAGAAAATTTTTCCTAGCTCCTCGACAAACATCTTTGGCGCAAGCTATCTTGCTTCAAAATCGTTTAATCGGAACGAACTGAAGGACTTCTCAGAGGAAAAAAGGTGCAACGTGCGCAATTTTTTTCGCTGTGGCAAATTGTTCCAAAGCTTTGAAAGGTCAGGAGAATAAAATCTTACCTGTCCCTCGGGGTATCCCGGCGCGAGGACGCCAGGGAGTGCCTCGCGGACGAATGTGTGGAATCTCTCTGTGCTTCCCTGAGAAGTCGTAGATATTCACGTTCGCCGGTGGTGCTGAACGCCGTCGGTGTAATCCGGGCCGCCAGCGGCGGGTCCGGCACCAGCTCCACCCAGGACTCTGCGCAGTTAAAAAGAAAAATCTGTTATTCTATGCCGTTATTCAATCGCTCGATTGCGATTCCGTGGGCGAGTCTGTTTGGTTCCGGCGATTCGTGCAACCATCATTTTTCAGCGTCCCTCGACGAGGTAAAAACGCACTATTCGCTCACGCGAGCTCGTTAAAATTTTACCTTTAAAAAGGAGAGGAAGGATAACAATTGTCAATATTAATTTTCTTATTTTGCTCGCGTTATTACGTTAGCGATATTCTTAGGAATAATAAAATCTTTTATCATTACGGTAAATATTAAAGGAAGATACTCTGTCAATTTTGTATTAAAAAATTGAAATTTACAGAGAAACTTTTCTTTACCGAAAATTTAACAAGGCGTCGTCACGTGTATTTTTTTAATTTTAAGTAAATAATAAAGTGAAATATTTTATTTTTGTTAATGTCACTTTTAATATTCTCAATATGCTTTTAATTCAATTCAATATGTTAATGTTAATACATTCGATATATAATATATGGAAAGTGAATGTCGTTGAACGATACGATTACGCGATGACACATTGTAACATCTTTAAAAATAGCATCAACGACCACCATATCGATCATAATAACTCTACGAGGTCAAGTTGAAGGAAATTTCATACTCTCTTATAAACAGCGACTCATCTTACAATATCAATTTTCATTGTATCAAATCTTTGATACGATTATGAAAATCATTAATAATGAGGAAACCATTTTTTTATTTTTAAGTGAATAAAATTCAATTAAAATGTTTATCAATATATATTCAATATGTTAAAATTCGATTAAAATCAAATTTAATCTCAAAAACAATTTATAATGCATTAATGCATTATATATATGCATATATATAATGCATTAATGCATGAAAATAAATTATATTTCTTGCAATGTATCATTGCAAAGAATATCAATTACATTTCTTGCAATGAACCAATGCAAGAATATCAATTCTTTAATATGTAGTATATAATAATAATAAGTTTTATATATATATATATATATATATATATGTTTTCTTACGTAAATCCTATAACGTGATTCACGTTTTTTCGTGCATAAAACATTAACAAATAAAAACATGATTGAACGCAATATCTAGTATTTGCAATAACGGTTTTTCAAAGGCAGTCTTGCGTCTTTTAGTAACGTGATATGCAAAGAAGACAACACATTTACACCAAATCGTCATGTCGAGCTATGTCGTCATTGTTTTGGCAAAACAATTTTATTCTCTGCATTGTATGCTAATAAAATTCTCAGCATATATAACGAAATAAATGGCGATAAATGACGCGCGAAGATTCACTAAGTTCATTAAATAAAATGAGATATTAATCTTCTTTATATCGTACATTTAATAAAATGAAAAAAATTGAGTTTTATATTAATAAATAAATATATTCTAAAATATATCATAGATTGAACAATCACAAGTTTGCAATGCAGGAATAATCTAATATAATAACGATATAATCCACAATATTACAAAACAGACTTTTAATAAAATATTTTTCAATAATAAAAAAAATCGTGAAAAATTGTATCTCACTGATTTATATAAATATGTAACAACTCAAGTTCAACAATAAACTCGTTGAAATATTAAATAATACGAATAATCAATCGATACTCTTTGTACATAGCTATAAAGTTGATCAATGAGATGATCGATCACTCAACAATGTTATCTAAACGAAATATATAGAGATGGATTTATAGGGAAACTTTCTTTCGTAAACTGCACGTGCTATCATATTCCATTTTAATTGGAACAAAATGAGGAGAAATTCAATTGTGTATTACACGATAGAAATCAAAATACATTTACATTTTACTAGCTTTTCTCTCTTCTTACCAAACTTGAAATAATGCGCAATTTTATATCGAAAATTAAAATTATATAATAAAATTATTATCTCAAGAATATAAAAAAATTTATTTCAATAAAACACGTAAGACATAAGAAATAAAAGAATAGAATACTTTCATAAAAAATGGTGGAAAAAAAAGTGAATAGATAAAGATTGAATTTCAAATAGTAACTTTATAAAATTTTATTTACAAATATAAAAAAGAATTTGCAGAATATTTTGGGCAAGTTAATTCTACATAATTATTTTCATGAAAATTTGCATTGTCAGCTGTGCGTAATTCGATCAAATTCGCTGAGAAATGATGCATAAAATATCTTTGCTCGCAAGCTCTGATAATATAATCATGTAACGAGAATGATCTCATCGCCGTGAAATCTCGAGTTCATCTACTCGTCGCTATAATGATCCACCAATTGCAAAACCGATGTGAATTTATATTCCACACTCCAACGCGTTTCTATTTACATAGTTACACAACTTCCGCACCATCGATGCGCATGTAACATTTTTATTTTGCTCCATTCTAGCTAACTAACAAACTCGGTTTTCCTTCGTAAAAGCTAATAAACGATTTTTGAATAAATAAATATCATAAATTTCATAATTGAAATTCAATTATCACGGATGTATACGTTATCGCTGACCAGAGTTCACGTTTCGGAATTTCAACGGTCGTAATCGAAACGGTCATCAAGCTCACATCAACTGCATAAGCGAAATTACACGTCGTCCGAGAATTGGTAGAACGAAGGGAAGAGGCAAAGACAGGTTCTCCCGTCGATTAGAGCAATCGGTTTATCAGTCACGATAAATCACGGTGTTCACGCGTGTCATTGAGGATCACGTGTGGTGCACGTGTGACGTTAGCATTTGTGCGATGACCGCCGCCGCTCTTCCGCTCTTCTAGCCGAGCAAATCATTCGGGCGATAAAGTTTACTTCGAGTTCATTCACCTATTTGTAAACCGCCGCGAGTTACGTTCGCGCTTTCGCCCGACTTTAACACGATTTCAATTTCGAAACATGCACTTAAAAAAAAAAATATATATATATATATATATATCGCTTCGAGATTCACATTTTGCGAAAAGAAAGGAGAACGACGCTGTCTCGTATGATTATTTCTAACAACTTCATATAAAAATAAATTATAATAGCATCCATAAATGTTAAATAAATAAATAATAAGTATTTAATAATAATAATAATAACAATGAATTTTATAATAAATTATAATAATATCTATAGATGTTAATATATTACTGGCTTCTGTTCCAAATGCGAGATATATTTCCCTTCGATGGCGATATTAAAAGCTTCCATGGAAGGTCAAACAATAAACTCCTTGTCACGCACGACTTTCCGAAAATTCGTGATTACACAGTGAATTTGTCACGCGACTCTTGTCTCGAGACGAACAATCGATTGCTCCCCAGGCACGCGATTAGTGTTTTTGCAAGGATGTAAATTATAAAAATTAATAGTTATACCGTGCGCGCGTCATCCTATAATTCAGTTTGCATATTAACGTATTAAAACCGTAAATCAAGATTCCGAGATTTTTTCTAGGAGGATGCAACACGACGTGACGATATCCGCCTGCTTGTCAGAATGGGACAATTATCCGTCATTTTATAATCACGCCGATTACGAGTATTTACGTTGGAGTATTTTTAGAAAAAAAAAATTGCCCGATAAAGAATTTCCGCCGACGTCTTTCCGCTCGAGTATGCAGGAGTATCGTAAACAATGTAGCAGGTAGAAACGGTAGGTTTCGCTGGTAGATCGAACATAATGCGTTATGTCGATTCTCATTGTCAGCAGCTGGGGAGAGATGCGCGCGATAATTCCATAGATACAATGTCGAGCGAGATCGAGCGAGGTCGTCGGAAAATGGAAAAATCGACTCTGTAAATAATCAGCACCGTTCGAGACACATGAACGCACTGACGTAAGTCCTTTAACAGACAGACGCCATCATTTGATGTTTATCAAACGGAATATAATGGAATCTAAAATCATGTATCATTGCAATCATTGCATTATTAATATCCCGCTCCATTTAATCTCGCAGACACGAATCTAATATTTAAAAATACAGCGAAAACGTTACCCCATGTAATGTCTCAGGAAAGAAAAATCTATTTCTAAGATTAAATTTTAATTTTATAAAAGCGCAAATTTCCTTGATACTTCTCAGCTGTGAGTATGTCCCCGTGGCTGTTGTGAAACGCTCTTATACACCCGATATATATTAATGAAACGAGCAAACATGCAAGCCATAACAGTCCGCGATAAAAAGCGGACATAAAGTATTCGCGACTGGATCGGAGATGCGGACAATAATTAATCTTGAAGTACGGAAAACAGTAAGTTTTTAATATCCTTAAAAGATCTTACGTGATATAATTTCTGATTACCAATGCACATTATGTAACGCGCACGCAGGAAGACAATCGACGCACGGCGGGGAATTGTTTCTCTTGTTTCTCACGATCCCGTCGTGTCGCCGGGCGATTCCTCGCGTCGCGCGGGATCGCTTCCCGCAAAATTTCCGTTCAAATTTGCGACTCAAACGGACGTCAGCTCGCAGGAGTCGTTCTCGTTCTCGTCGTCGTTCTCGTTATCGCGCGTCCGAAAACCATTCGGATCCGCGAGCCGTGTCGACGCGCGAAACGGAACGGTGTTTACTCGGCGCGCGTCGCGGCGCGGCGCGGCGCAAAATCGTGCCGCTTGCGTAATCCGCTCGCATTATTCGCAAGCTCTACGAGCACATTAATCGCGCGGCCGCGGGCAAAATCCCGGCTGGCCTGATTGCGAACGGCGAACGGACGGCGGAGCTCTTTTGTGCGTCGGGCTATGAACGCCGATGGACGCTGTCGGAGATCAAAGCTGCGGAGTGCCTATTCAGAGACCCGGGGATTGCCATTACTTGATCAGCAGCGATCTCGTGCGAATCAACATAAAGAGATTACGTCGTTTGCTAGCGCTGACAAACCGGAGCTTCTCTCCGCGTGATAAATCGACCGCCAGACGCAAATTTGACACGATGGTTAAGACGGCAAGCTGTGACAAAACACGCACGTGAAACATGCCTGATTATCGCGATCAGAAACGCTGAAACAAAGGATCAATCTCGGAATACGAAGAAACGAAATTTTATTTTGATAATGCAATCGTTGTTATGATGGTCGATAATGCTCTATCAGTGTCCGCATTACCTCGCATATAACGTTTAAACGTTGCGTTGATTATTAAATTAATAAATTGTTCATTTACATTACGCTCACATCCACATCTGCTTTAAATTGACCTCGCGATGCAGCTGCATTTGCATTGAAAACATTAACGACTGATTTCTAAAGATATCCTATTACCTCGCATTAAATACGCTTGGTCTCTAGCCACACCGTTTGCCAATTACTCATCCCCCATAAATTAACTTACGATAACTGTCGTTTAACCTTCGTTAACCCCACCTTGGGCTATCACTCGACAAGTTTGACATATTACTTTCAGTCCCGTTGCGAGTCGCCTCGAAGCGCGATGCGATATCCAAGTATTAAAAATAACAGCATATTTTTTACGTTTATCCAAGAACGCGAGAACAAAAGATCACTTTATTGTACTTTAATAAATAATGCAGTACATTATTAAACAATCCTCAAATTAATTTAATGTCGCAAAAAATTTATTTAAAAAATTGATTGTTTTTCTCAACGTAATAATTAAGATTTAATACGAGAAAGATAGCGAGTGCTAAGACAACATTTATCAGCATAGGTGAAGAAAAAAATAATACTGTCCATGACCAGTCATAAGTCATCGGTATAAACAAGCACGTGCCTGTCAAGGCTGCACGTGTTGACACACAAGTATCATGATATCGCAGGATATGCAAGCTGATCTTTACGACGCTTTGTCACCTCTCGCGTAAACGTGTCCCGCAAACGATCTCCATTGCATCGACAACAAACCACAAATGGAAGCGTCTCTTGACTCGTTATCCAACTTGAATGCTTAACGTGATCATATTTCACTAAAAATCTTCAGAATTTTCTGAAAATACTCGATATAAAATCTCTAATTTAATTCGCTGCGTTCAATCGTAAGCGAGAAACATTTTTATCGACGATATTTTTCCTTCGTTTCCCGTAAATTGGATTTCAAAACGAAATTTCCGCGAAGTACTGTTTTTAAACGATAAAGATAACAATAATTATATAATTTCTGATAATCGTTTGCTCGTAACATTTCATAAGAGTCGTTTAAAAATACAGCGGGAACGTTACCTCATGTAATGTCTCAGGAAAGAAAAACCTATTTCTAAGATTAAAATTTAATTTTATAAAAGCGCAAATTTCCTTAATACTTCTCAGCTGTGAGTATGTTCATGTATCCTCGTGGCTGTTGTGAAACGCTCTTATACACCCGATATATATATTAATGAAACGAGCAAACATGCAAATTCTCATCGATTTTCCCACAAGCTGGGAAACATATTGCGTCGTGTCGCGAGGAAATTTTCGCAAGATCGCATTTGAGAGATGAAGCTCACCACGTGCCATGTCTGCGGAATCGCTACTGGGTAGCCTCAATCAATCGGATTAAGGACCGGCGGCAGAGCTTACGACTAAAAATAGATGCCCTCCCCCTTTTCGACGGCCCGCCGTCATTTCGATTAGTACACCACCGCTCGTAGGCGTGCACGCAGCTGATAATTGCGCACGCACCGCTTATCTGGGACTTAAATTAAACATCCTTTCGTTGACAGCCAGATAAAGATGCAAATGGACGAGCGCAAACTGTTTTATATTTCGAATCTCGTATTTATGGGGAGCGACGTTGTATGCGAAGCGCAAATTTATAAATTATTATTATGTATAAGTTTATTACGTATTTTTACGAGATGTCTACTCAAAAAAGAATTCCGAAAAAGAATTCCCTGAGAATTCCTAAATTTTCAAAGCAATTTGTTAAAATTCCCAGGTAAAATGAAAATATTTTTCAAATACTTTGTATTTGTATTTTACAAATAAATAAATGTTTATTGTACAAAATCTTTAATAAATTTTTCACTTGTAAAAATTTAAAAATCATAAAATAAAATTAAGAATTATTCGAGTTTTAATAAATTTGATAAAAAAAAACTATATATAAGGACTAAAAAATAAATATTTTCTTTTATTACATAAAATTTTCAAACTTTATTTTGCATAAAATGTTAAATTATATTTTTATTTTAATATTATTTTAAAAGCTACAAACAAAAAATTGCACAAAACGGTACAAAATTCAAGCTTTTATAAAGCTTATAAATAAATATCCATCTTTATTAAACAAAATTGCATGTAACATTATCTTCGTATACTGAATTCTGAATATTGAATTAATTATAAAATCAATGTGCTCTGATGTTTAGAATGGATGAACCCATTATTATCGTTAACAATTCAGTCAGTAAACTGTCGATTATAATAAAGAGAGAAAATATTAAAAAATATTAATTTCTTGAAGAAAAAAATTTCTTGAGATCCCTGATTTTTGGAAACACAAATTCCTTGAAAATTTTAAACTCTCCAAAAGTTTTTTCAGGTAGTAAACATTCAAGAGAAATTTCAAAAGAAATTTTTCTTAAAATTCGCGAATATTTAATATTTACCGATATATTTAATAGATATATCCAAATTTGATATTGCGATTTCAATATAAATGAATAATGACAATAAATAAATCTTTTCATTAAATAAAAGAAAGGAGATAAATACTTATCTCGATAACGCAAATAATGATTAGGTGGATAATCTCTCACTGATACCAGCGATTGTTCACTCTAATATCTATCTAATTTTATAATATGACGTTTAATCGCCGCATGAGTCATGAAACTGGTGCATTATACCGAAGGTATAAATATTTACACAACTATTTATTTATCATAAAACTCTTTGCCAAAAATATAGAATTAACTAACTAATTAATTCATTGGAAATTCAATGTCTATTTGCGAATAGCTAATCTGTATCAATCGCAAGTCAACAGTCTCAGAACAGTGTTAAGTGTCAAATGCGAAAAAAATTCCCTGAGAATTCCTCCATTTTCAAAGCAATTTGATAAACATTCCAGATAAAAAAAGTATTTTTAAATATATCTCACAAATAAATATTTTATTGCATAAAATTTTTAAACTTTATTTCCAAAAGCTACAAATAAAAAGTTATATGATGTATAACCAGCATAAAATTCAACTTTTATAAAGTTATTAAAATAAATATCCGTTTTCGTTAAACAAAATTGCACTAATACGAAATAGTTGTCTTCAAAATACTAAAGTCAGATTAATCGTAAAATCAATATGCTCTGGCGTTTAGACGATTTGCCGTTTAGAGTGAATAAATCCATTTGTATTTGTTAACAATTCAGTCAGTAAATTCTCAATTATAGTATAAAGACAAAATATTAAAAAAAGCAACTACAAAAAAAATTTTCTAATTTTTAATAAAATTTCCTGCGTATTCCTTTTTTCAAGAAAACAAACTTCTCTGAGAAGAATTCCAGGTTTTTAGGTTTTTCCAGGTAACAGACACCCCACAGGAGTCGTGCGAAGAAGCGCATTCGCAATCGCGTGAGCCGAGTCACGTAGGCTTCTGTGTGAGCCTCAAGATGATTTCGGGTCAGCGCCGCTCTAATGAGTCCCAACTACCAGAGAACGATCACGTAGATCCGTTAGTGCGACGTGCGGACGATCACGCGTCACGTGATTTTACCGCGAAAGGGAACGTACTCGCAGAGATGACTCACGCCCCTCGGAGACGGTCTCTCGCAGATATCTCGGAAGCGATCCGCATATCCGAGCGTTTACTTCATCTAATGTTAATTTCTCGATTACTGACCTCACTTTTTGCGCGCTCTTTCATCAAAACGACGCGTTTCAACCGCGAATCAGAGTATGCAGACAGAGAAGGTTCTCTTCTTCGGAGATGTTTCTTTTCTTTTCCATTATCAAAAATTCAATATTGCAGCTTTTTTCTAATGCAAACTATAAGCTATCAGAATTATCAATATCGCTTTGTCGATTTACATGTAGATAACAAGTACGGCGACATTACTTTTCGATCGAGAATGACATTGAATATTAGATTGTCGGATTATTTCCGAGTTTTGTGTACGTATTATCTAACTGTGATTTCAATTAGAAAGACGAAACGATGATGTCAGCGCAATCATCAGATCAAAAAATAGTGACTATTTTTTGATCGAAAAAGCGATAAAAAATAATTTTTCAAATATTAAAATAAAGAGATATTTTTATCATATTTTCGGAATAATTAAAACCATTTAAGCAAAAACATACTCTTATTTTCCCGAATTCATTTTTATGATAATTTATAGAATTTAATATTTTTTTTGTAACGTGATTTAAAAATTTAGAATAAAAAAAGAACAAGAATTTGAATGACAATAATAAATCAATAAGCAAGACAATAATAAATCAATAACAATGATCGAGTGACAATTATTATCAGATGAGATAAAAATATGAATGAAACATTTATATTTTACAAATTTTAACTTGAGAAAAAAGATGACTATGGCCGATATTCATAATCAGTTCTTATAGTTAAGATCGTTTTAAATAAGCTCATACAGCTATCCTATTGATTGAAATGTTATCTTAAGATGATCTTAAATATAAGAATTGATTATGAATACCGGCCTATGACTCGTTTTAGATAGTGACTTTTTTAATAATTTGTAAAACAAAGATGTCAAAAAATAACTTAAGTGAATAGGATGGCACTGTAATATTTATTCTGGCAGAAATACGGCCCTGATCTTGACCGAGCGCCATACTCTCATTAGGGCTCATCCAATTTAAATAGAACACGCGAGCCACGCGAGTTTGCAGGGCACTGACCCAGTTCTATGCGTCGATAATCCAGCAGTTAAATAAAGCAAAGGAAATGAATTTTCCGAACAAGTTTCGGATAATTCGATAATTTTTGCGGTAATCCTAAAAAAGAACTAGAGGTTAACATCCTTAAGATGTTTAACACACCGTTTTACGATGATGTTTTTTCCCCTGATTTCCATTTCTATCTTTCAACACGTAAAGATTTGTTTGCTAAAGATTCTTTTTTAAATGTTTCGTTTTTGCCGTGCGAAATTTATTTAGTTGCCTCTAAAATCGAGTACTTTGCCGTGTTAATAGGTCGTTCGATTCAGACGTGAGCGATTTCCGCGAATCGAAATATATAATGGCGAATAAATCATGGCGCGGAATCCATTAGACATTCACATTCACGAACGGAACAGTCAGATGCGTATGTAAATGTGTAAAAAAGCGAAATCGATCAAAGTTTACGCAGAAGTAAAAACGTGTAAAAAAATAATTTTTAAATTAATCCAAGACCGAAAAAAATGTACAGAATAATTACAGAAGTAGCGTCCGATTTCTCGTAGTATACCGAGAAACAAAGAACTGGAGGCCGTAATCCGAGCCGCGGATAAATTTAGCGTCGCCTCTCGGTTACTTCTTGCAAAACATTATTTCACTTCGCGGTTCATTATCACCGAGACACCGACACCGGCTATTGTTAAAGTGTGTTCGAAAAATGCGACTTGTAATTCAACGCGAGCGGAGAAGACGCGTGGCGACAGGGAGAAAACAGATAGCAACTCGTGACGCGGCCGAGATGAAAGCATCGGCAGGTGCTTGTTTCTTTTTCCGTCAGGGCTATCGGCCAGACGACACTTTGCAAAACAAACAGAGATAAAGCTTGCGATAGTAAAAGTAATATACACATATATATGTATACATATATGTGTACTCGATTCAAGTGGGTACAACGTAACGAGATCCGCACGTGACAAAATAGGCCACCGAGATGAGAATAATTTTCTAAAATTAATCGATAAATTCATAAACATTTTAATATATGGTTCGATCCATAAAATGGTCAAAAGAACGTACAAACAAAAATGTAGAGATTTAATTTTAAAAAATGTTTTTCGAAAAATCGTGATTACAACGGAAATAGCATCGGAAACTTAATCAAAAAAACATGACAATGAGTATAAAAGGAATAAACAAACGGAATAAATTATCATTATTAAAACAATAAAGTTGTTTGTGAAGTCTCATATATTTAGAATCAGCTTACGCTATGAATTATTAATAAAACGTCTGGCTTCTTTTACTATAAAAAGATTACGATATAGTTGAAATATTTCCTTCCAAAGTTTCCCGGGAATACAATTATAAAGCTATATTATACACTCATAAAAATTTAAAATGTTGACAAGCTTAGCCACGTATCCGGAAATTAATTTCACGAGTTTCTATCGAAATGCGTCTCTTTTTTTTTTTTTTTTTTTAAATCAAAAAGTCGGAAATTTATCATGAAATTTTCTACTGAATTCGTCGTGAATCCTCCAACGTAACATATTGCCATAGGCCATCACTCTTTGATCATTGATAACGCGTTTGTAATCCACGATCGAGCCTAATACGTCTGCAATTTCTTCAATCTACGCTGAACAGATCTTATCTCATATTATCGCGCGAGCGCATATGACATGTCTTTAAAAACACGGAAAGGAAATAAGATTTATTTATACGCAGAAAATAAATGGTCTTCAGTTCGCAATTAATACCACTGAACATTCCCGTGGCAATAAAAATAATCGCGTTCTGGCTATGAATCACGAATTTTTTATCTACTTCGCTTATCGAAGGAAACGAACTCCGAAATATAGATATCTACGCGTTTGCATGTTCAACTCAAAGTTAAAATGTTCGATTCTGGAATATCATAAAGAGACTAATTAATTTTATCGATTCCTTATCTACGACAAATAACGGAAAAAAGACATGAAGATCGAGAGAAAAAGGACGAAGTATCAAGAGAAAAACGTATGCGGGATGGGAAGGGAGGTAACGACGCAGCACGGCTGGAATTCGCAGTTCGGCGTACTTCGCGCGAGGCCCCTTCGCCTCGTACCGTGGAAATCCGACTGGGATGAAGTATCGATTCGCGCGTACGAGACATCAAAAATTGAATCTTCTGCCGGCCGCGACGCGGCGGGTTGAAGAGGCCCGAAATGGCGCCAAAACTGCGCCGCGCCGCGCAGTTTGTTCCGAAAAGATCGGAGGGGGATCCGCGGATTTTCGGAGGCGCGTGCAATTCCAGCTCGCGTCGTGCGCGAAGGATCGTCGGGACGAGGACATTCGGGCAATCCCGCTGTCCAGAAACGTCATTGAACGACAGCGGGATCGCGATTCGGCCGAATCTCCTCGACGCTGATGCGAGAGGCGAACGGACGGATGGAGCGAAACAGAAGCGCGTTTGTTTACGCTCGGTAGAGAAAGAGAAAGAGAGAGAGAGAGAGAGAAGTGATGGAGGCGATAGGAAAAGGGACGAAAGGGAAGGAAAAGGAGGAGGGCGAGC